GCCAGGCACTGCATTCATTGGGGAAGAAAGTATTTTGGAAGTCAGCTCTCAGAATCTTGGATGAATATGGATTGAGTGAACCTCAAAGGAGGAGTAGTGATGGAACTAGAGGGAGAATCTGGGTGTTAATGGAGTAAGGAATATTCCACCTCCCCACCTGACCAACGAATTGGGGGGAATGAGTGAAAGTACAACAGTGCTGGAAAGTGAATGCAAGAAGATGAAAGGACTATCTTGGAAAAGTTTAAAGATGAAATCCAGTTTGCTATTTATGAAGAAAGCATTTCAGAAAGGGTAAACAGGATGTGTTGGGTAGAATTAAAAGGGATTGAGGAGGGTTGGTCAAGAAGGATGGGAATAAGGGAGTGGTCAGTGGAAGACTGTGCAAGGGCAGCGGGGTTCAAAACCACTGGGTTGGGAAGGGTATGTTGGGATGGAAGTATGCTACTCATTGAGGAGTTCCAGTAGTGATCACTGTCCACAGGAGTTCCTCCTATGGTTGGCTGTCCAGAGCATCAGGCAGTAGTATGCGGTTGGAAGAGGTTGGAAGGGTTGGATGAGGGATACCCAGGTAGCACTAGACAGGTCCTGTAGAGCTGTGGGTGAAGACTGGAAGACCATTTGTTGGGGATGATGCAGACCAGGGGTTTGTACAGATGGAACAGATGGCCTCTGGGGTCTCTTCCATATGTGATATGTGGTTCTCATTCAGGTCTGGACCTCTCCAAGTTGAATTTGGTGGGTCCATGTGTAGCTGCTAAGATCTAAGCAGAATAAGTAATATGAGATCAAATAACAACTCTGTTTTTTGCATATCTAAGGTGGTATTTCAAAAAAGTCAAAGTATTTTTAATTGTATACTCATTCTCCTTTCAAATGCCTTTAAACTGGTCTTTTTCCTTGTTTAATAAACCACTGTATATACACATACAAGATTCCACTGTTCTTGTTTCACTGTAAAAAGCTTTTAATTCAGTAGGTCCCCAAATCATGGTATGGGTTCTCTGTAGAAGATTTATGTGAGTATGTGATCAAGAGTTGCATAGGATCAGAAGAAATGAATAACTTGTGAGCTATACTAATTAGAAAGAGCACCCACATCAGTGAGACCACAGACCTATCAAAGTACAGTCCTTCCTCAACATTCATGGGTGTCAGGGGCATAGGATCCCCATGAATATGAAAAACCCTGAATAACTCTAGGTCCCACTTCAAACTTTTATTTTTAAGAATTCTGGTCATATTTATTTAACACACAAAACAAGTAAACAACACGCTGCACCTATAAAAAAATGCAGTTTCTATGGGAAAGCGATTAGTGTGTTACATGCTATGCAGAATTTTTAGTCTGCCGATGTGGTTGAAGCAACCACTTCACGGATTTCCTTCTACAAAAAGCTGACTGACTGAGTCTGGATAGATGGTAGGTAAAGAGGAGGCATTCCCTAAGAGAGCGCATAGCTAGTGGTTCTGTAGTGCACTCAAACTTTTGACAAAATTTAACTGTTTATTATAAATTTATGATACCACTCTGATAGCAGAAAGTGAAGAGGAATTAAGAAGATTCTTGTTGAGGGTAAGTATAAAAGCTTAACATCAAAAAAACTAAGATCTTGGTAACTGGTTTAATCACTACCTGGCAAACAAAGGGAGAAGAAATGGAAGCAGTGTTGATTTTATATTCTTGGGCAAAAAAGATCACTGCAGATGGTGACTGCAGCCATGAAGTTAAAAGGTGTTTGTTCCTTGGAATACTAAAAGGCAGAGATAGCACCTTACCAGTAAAGGTCTGTATAGTCAAAGCTTTGTTTTCCAGTAGCAACGCATGACTTAAGAGTTGGAGTATAAGGAACACTGTGCTGCAGAATCAACACCTCTGAATTATGGTGCTGGAGAAGACTTTTGAGAGTCACTCGGACAGCAAGATCAAATCAGTCAATACTTAAATTAATTCAGGCTGTTCATTGGAAGGTCAAATACTGAAGCTGAAGTTTAAATACTCTGGCCACATAATGAGGTGGGACTCATTGTTGGGAGGTTAGGAAAGATTGAAGACAAAAGGAAAAGGAGATGGCAGGGGATGGGATGGATAGATAGTATCATGGAAATAACAAACATAAACTTGGACAGACTTCGAGAGACAATGGAGAATAGAAAGTCCTGGTGTGCTATGGTCCATGGAGTCACAAAGAGTTGCACATGACTGAACATACACACAAACACTTACAGTAGTAAATGATAAAGTAGATTCATGATATACAGTATTCGTTTATGACATTAAACTTTTAAAAGTTTTCTTTACATAACTGTGTCATGTGTCACCTTCAATTTTCCCAAGTACTGCCACAGATCTCCAAAAATTCCCACTTAAATGTTCATGGCTAGCCCATGAATAACTGTGAATGTGAAACCCACGAATGTTGAGAAATGACTTTATTTTTGCATTTCCCCAAGCACTTACTCCAGTGGAAAGAGTACTAGCTTAATATGTGTTGAATCAATTAATGAAGAACAGAGAAAGGATCCTTGTGATGAGGTAGAAAAGAGTGCTTGTGGCACTTGGAGCAAAGGGAGGAGAGGTAGGAGATAAGGTGCAGGATGTGACCAGCCAGAAAAGTGATCAAAGAAGACTATGCATTGAAGCCCCCACCTGGGACTTCTGTGTGCTTTCACAAAGAACCCTCAGTTTCAGAACTCTTCCCCTCCCCTTTCCTGTTCTCTTTGCTTATCACTCCCGGACTACCTGGTATCTCAGGCATTTTGAAGCCATGCTTGCTCCTCTCATTCTCTTGTCCCCTTCCTCCTATTCCATAAAATTGTATTTAAATAATACCTTTGATCTAGCTAACCATCTTTGCCTCTTACAGGAAATAGGGGCCACTCTGCTCCCTTAGGGGAGCAGGGCCTGTGGCCTATACTCTGCCTCCCACATGGAGTAGAACCCGCTGGGGCCGGGAACAGGCAAATGCCTTTCTTTAACATGGAGACTGTCTGAGTGAATTCTTTCAGCACACTAGGACCCACGCCTCTAGTCCTCATCATTTCAGGTAACACCCCAACATTCTTAAGGTCCACCCTGCACCAATGGTTACAAAGAAAGTCTAAGTGAATTCTTTCACACCTGAACCAGCTTTCCCAACTCTGACCTCAACAATCCTATTCACAATTTTGTAGAATAGATTTGATTGACACTTATTTCTTTGTTTTTCCAGAACAGAGATCTAGTCTTTTGGGTCTAGTCTTTCTAGTCATTTGACGCAGCCAATGTCTATTCCTTTTTCTTGCTTATACCTTCTCCAAATCCACTGTATCTTTTTCAAGATTTGGCAACCAGAAATGGAAATAGTATTCCAGGTTCTGGACAAAACCAGGATGATATCTTATAATGCCATTTTTTTTAAGGCAATTGGGGTTAAATGACTTGCCCAGGGTCACACAGCTAGTAAGTGTCAAGTGTTTGGTCTGAGGCTGGATTTGAACTCAGGTCCTCCTGACTTTAGGGCTGGTGCTCTATCCACTGCACCACCTAGCTTGTCCCCCTTGTAATGCCATTTCTATCCCCAGATACTCAATTAGCTTAGCTCTCTGCAATTCAGAACTCCTGAGCTCAAGATATCTACCAGCTTCAGCCTACCTCATCAGTAGAGATTAACAGGCATGAACCACCAGACAGGTTTTCTAAGCCTTTTTGACTGAAGTAAACAAAGAAGTGCTTACAATAATTCCCAGGTCTGACCTGGGAGACAAAGAATTGGGAACATAAATACAAAACAGGGCATTGTTTTCAAAGGTTAGCCCTGCAGGAAATGAATACTTAAGACACTGCTAAATGAAAAAATTCCCAAGTTCTTCCAGACTCCAGGATAACTTTTTTCAAATTAAATTTTATTTTTTTCAGCTAACAAAAATCATTTTCTCTCCTTCATACCTCCCCACAACTGGGGGGAGGGGGCAGAAAAGTAAAAGGCTTTTTAACAAATATGCATAGTCAAGCAAAACAATTCCCCCCCCCCCCCAATGGCCATATCCAAAACAAATACATCATTCTGCACCCTGAGTGCAGACCTGAGTTGACCACCTCTGTTAGGAGGTGGTCAACATGCTTCATTATCAGTCTTCTAGAATCATGGTTGGTTATTGTAATGAGCAGAGGTCTAAGGCTTTCAAAGTTGTTTTTACAATGCTGCTGTTATTGAATGAATTGTTTTCCTTGTTTGCTTGTTTCATTTTGCATCAGTTCATACAAAGCTTCTCAGGCTTCACTGAAACTATCCTTGTCATTTCTCATGGCACAGTGATTCCATTACAATCGTATAGCATAATTTGGTCAGCCAGTGCCCAGCTGATGGGGGTAATCCCACATAATCTCCACTTCTTTGCTACTACAAAACATGTATATATATTTTTGTACATTTGGGTCCTTTTCCTCTTTCTTTGATCTTTTTGTGATATAGTCATATGGCTAGGTTGCAGGTAATTTTTGAGGCATAGTTCCAAATTTTTTCCAGAGTGCTGATTAACTTTTGAACCCTACTTAGTAACAATTCTTGAAACACAGGATTAGTTCCTTGGCTGTCAAGAGCTTTTTATAAGGAACTCAGTGATAAGAGTATTAAGTGTTAGTATTAAGTGCCCAAAAAATGACCTAGATGTCCTAGGTTGGGCTTTAACCAAGTCTCTAATGTTTTAAGGGAAGAGTTACAACTGAAACATTTCAAAAGTATTGCATTGCAATTATGGTGCCTCTCCTCAAGTGTCCACTCTCTGATGGCTATACAGGAGTATACTCTAAAAGCTTTTAGGGACTTGGTTAAAGCCCACAGTAGGACATCTAGGCCATTTTTGGGGCACTTAATACTAACACTTAATACTCTTATCACTGAGCTCCTTATAAAAACTTCTAAAAAGGCTATTTACTAAGTAGCTCTAGCTTTTAGGTAGTGCAGTGGAGAGAGCACAGATCCTGGAATCAGGAGGACGTGAGTTCAAATCCAGCCTCAGACATATAATACTCACTAGCTGTATGACTCAGGGCAAGTCACTTAAACAATTACCTCACCAAAAAAAAAGTTTTACCCACATTTGTTAAGTTTTATAAGGTTTTCCTCTCTCTAATATGAATTTTCTTATGTCTAGAAAGGTTTGAACTATTATGGAAGGTTTTCTCACATTCATCACATTTGTAGGGTTTCTCCCCAGTGTGGATTCTCTGATGTGAAATAAGACCTTCATTTTGACTAAACCTTTTTCCACATTTGGTACATTGATAAAGTTTTTCCCCTGTGTGAGTTCTGTGATGTTTAATGAGGTGTGAACTCTCACTGAAAGCTTTTCCACACTCACTACATTCATAAGGTTTTTCTCCTGTATGGAGTCTCAGATGTGATATAAGACCTGCATTTTGACTAAAGCTTTTCCCACATTCATTACAATGAAATGGCTTCTCCCCAGTGTGAATTCTCTGATGTTTAATAAGGAGTGAGCTTTGATTGAAGGCTTTCCCACACTCACTGCAATTGTAGGGCTTCTCCCCAGTGTGGATTCTTTGATGTTTAATAAGGTCAGAGCTCTGATTGAAAGCTTTCCCACAATCATTACATTCATAGGGTTTTTCCCCAGTGTGGATTCTTTGATGTTTAATAAGGTCTGAACTCCAGTTGAAGGCTTTACCACACTCATCACATTCATAAGGTCTATCTAATGTGTGGATTCTATAATGAAGAATCAAATTGGAACTCACACTAAAGGCTTTCCCACATTCATCACATTTATAAGGTTTATCCCCAGTATGGATTCTCCGATGCAGACAAAGGCTGGTACTTCCACTAAAAGCCTTCCCACATTCTTTACATTTATAAGGTTTTTCTCCAGTGTGGATTCTTTGATGTCGAATAAGATTTGAGCTCTTAGTAAAGAATTTTCCACATTCATCACATTTATGGTCTTTCTCTCCTCCTATGGGAAGTTTTTTATGAATGATCTCTCTGATTTCTTTCTCCTGGGAAGGAAATTTCTTTCTTCCCTCCACTGTGGGAGTTTCTTGATGCCCTTTTAACCTGCTCTCAGTTTCACAAGCTTGTCCAGATACAGGTTTCTGGGGAGCATCCACCATGACTCTTCTTAAAAGCAATAAGTGAGGTTCCACTAAAGAAATTTCCTGCTTTAGTATCAACTTCTCATTCTCAGGCCTAGACTCATCATCTGAAACAACAAATAGAATACAAATGTCACTAGGTACTTATACTACAAAAAAAGAAACTGCTAAGAAACTTGATTCAATTCAGCATTCACTAAGTGCTAACTACATGTAAAAGATTGTGCTTACTGCTGGGAACACAAGCTCACATTCTACTGGTGGGGGGAAAAGGAGAGAGAGAGGGAATTTAAGAGGTAAACATATTTAAGTAAGATAATTTGAGGAGGGAAGGAACACTAAAAAACTAGGAGGATTAGGTTTACCTTTGTGTAGGAGGTGGCAGCTAAACTGAAGAAAATTGAAGGAAATTAGTCTAGGTGAGAGAGATGAAGAAAGAGGATATTCTAGGCTAGCCTGAGGGATAGCCTGTGCAAAAGAAAAAATGGGAAATGGAATGCCGAGAGAAATGGTTTATTAGACCCCTATTTTATTTCAATCAGTATTAATCAGTTCATAGGGGTATTTTATTAATTTTAATCAATTAATTTTAATTTTTATTATATATTATATTAATATATTATATTACTTGATTAATTAATAATTAATATTAATCAGATTCCATAGGGGTAATTTTATTCCAATCACTATTAATCAGTTCATAGGGGTATTTTATTAATATTAATTAATTTTATTTTTATTTATATTATATATTATATTACTTAATTACTTGATAAATTAATATTAATCAGATTCCATAGGGGTAATGATTGTTAGCAATTATAAGTGATATAGTCACCTAGTAATATACATTTAGTCAGTTTAGTCAACTAACGTACATGAATAACATATATATTAATGCATGTTTTACATATATCATATAGGGATAATTAGATAAGATAGATTTTCTTATAATAGGCCCCAAACTTTATAAGCTATAAATTCACTGTTCACTACTTATTTACCAGTTAATAAAGTTCACTTGTGTAACCACAAGAATGCTGAGGAGGGGCTCTCCACTCTGTTTTGCTCAATTATATCTGCCAAGCCCAGCATGGGATGCTTTGGTGTAATACTGAAAGTCCCCCAACTTATTTCTGTATCTCCAGACCACCCTTTCTTGCCCAGTATGAGGAGGAGCTCATCTTATGATCACTGCTTTGCCCAGCTTGTGAGCCCCATGTTGATACATAATTTTTGACCCTCTTGGAGGGTGAAGAGCAAGGTCTATCAACCAGTAAGATTCTGTATTTGACTTTGCCTTTTCCGTATGTCTGAGTACCAAGCCCTATAAAAGTAAGGCCTTGGGGGACCAGCGGACATCTTAGATCATGAGGAAGACTGGAGATCCACTTTGGACCTCCAATTGGAGGGGATCAGGTCCCTTTAACAAAGTGCTATTGGCTCGGAGTTCTGCCTCAGTTTCTATTATTGTAGTTTGGGCATTTTGGACCCAACAATACTGACTTGCAGGAACCTGGCTTCGTTGGAATGCGGACTATAGCTAGTCTAGGAAGGGCTGTAAATACCAGAATGCAAAGTCTGTATTAGACGGCATCATGGATATAGCATTGAAGTGATTTCAAATCGTCCATCAGAAACTAACTTGCTGTGTGATTTTGGGCTTAACCTCTCTCAGCCTCAGTTTCCTCATGTACAAAATCATTAATGCAAAATATTAATATTAATAAAATGTTAATAGAATCTATCTCCCAAGTTTGATGTGAAAGTCAAATGAGATAAAATGTGAAATGCTTCGCAAATCTTAAATTATGATGATGATGATCATCACCATTTCTATCACTTGCCTCTCAGAGACTTTGTCTTCTCAGATTTCTGATATTCAGGACCAGAAGAGCAGGTGGGAAGAAAATGGGACAATTTCTATACAGTTGCATGGAACTATCCACAAAAGTAATCTCAACCATCATGTCTGTTATGTTCAGTAAGGAAGAAAAGCAAAGTGTCTACAGACACTATGTCAGGAATAACTAAAGGGGCATGCACAAGTCCTACAGTAGATGAAGAAGACACAGGTCTTTGTATTTCCTCAGCACTTAATATTTATTTAGTTTAATGGAACTGAATAAGGGGAATCACAGACTGGTTTCCAGGACAGCTGGCCCAGTAACAGAGATTGTATGTTAGCTAAAGTCCTTTTCTTATTAGACTTATTTCCTCAGCATCTGAATTTCCATTAATAGCTACTCCTGCCTACTCTACATTAATAATCTCCCATAGGTATTATGCTCCTCTAGTTTATCCCCAGACCCTTGCTCTGTTATCCTGTATTGCCCCACCTCAAACCAGGTTCCTTCCCCAATTCTCTCTTCCCTATCCAGTTTAGTCTTGTCCCTTCCCAAATCAAATCTACCCCTGCCCACTACCTCAGCCTTCTACTGAGCCTTCTTCAATCTTCAATCTATTTATTGTAAATAAACTTCCCCCAAATCCTTAATCTTTCCTAGAAGGTCTGGGTTACAACTCTACTAATTAAAACTAATTCCACCAAATTGTGTTCTTGATCCTACCTCATCCTATTTCACAGATTTTAGGGACCTTACTGCACCAATTACTTTCTTTGTCATTCATCTGGCTCCTTTCCTCAGGCCAACAAAACTGCTCAAATCTCCTTAAACTCATAACAATTCAACCTTCCTCCAGCAAGTCTCTCCTCTTCTTACCACCAAACTCCTAAAGAATGGTCTCCATCTGTTGCCTATGGTTCCTCATCAACCACTAATTTCTTAAAACTGCAACATGGCTTCTGTTGCCATATATTGAATTTGCTCTCTCAAAGAACAAAAATGACAATCTACTAATTGCAAAATCCAACAGACTTTCTCAATTCTTATTGTCCTTGCTTACTCCATGCATGAAGCACTGTGAAGAGTTTAGGGTGAAATGAGGTCTATTTTGGGTGTGTTGAGTTGAAATGCCTACAAGACATAATTCAAAATGTACAAAAAGCAGTTTATGATTTAGGACTGTAGCTCAGGAGAAAAGACTAGGGCTGGATTTATAAATTTATAAATAGGGATAATAACTGAACTCAAGGGTAGCTGATATCACAAAGTGAGGATAGTTAGTGAAGAGGACCATGCTTAATCATCCTGACATGGATGAAGAACAAGCAAAGGAGACTGAAGAGTGATCAGACAGGATGAGAACCAGGAGAGCTGGCAGTGGGCTTTTTTAGGTATTAGGTATTTTGCAGCTATGTGGAGGGTAGGTAAGAAAGGGAGGCTGGAAGCAGGGAGACTGATAGACAAGGAGGCTGTTTCAATCAGTAGTCCAAACTAGAGGTGATCAGGACCAGAACTAGGATATCATCTATGTAAGTGGAGGGAGAGGGACATAAGTGAGAGATGTAGTGGTAGAATAAACAAGATTTGTCAGCTGATTGGATATGAGGGTAAGGAGGAATTAGTCAAGTATGACTCTGAGGTTGTAAACCTCAGTGACTTGAAGGATGGTGGTGCCTTCAACTCTGGTGGAAAAATGCTGCTTTCAATTTCTTGTTGGTAGTGTCCTAGACTGAATGAATGAAAAGCATTGATTAAGCACCCAATTGCCAAATCTTCATTCTTTTGACCCCTCGGAAGCATCTGACAGTGTTGGATATCATCTTCCCTCTTGACTTTTGTGACACTGCTCTCTCCTGGTTCTCCTCATATTTGATCACTCTTTAGTCTCTGTTGCTGGTTCTTCATCCACGTCATAACCACTAATCATGAGTGTTGCCCAAGCTGACAGTGTGGCTCCCCTGCTCAAAGCCTTCAGTGGCTCCCTAATACCTCTAATATAAAATATGAAATCCTCAACCTGGCATTTAAAGTCCACCATAATCCAGCTCCCACATACCTTTCCGATCATACATTATGGATTCCATCTAAACTGGCCTATTAGCTATTCACATTCCATTGCCTGCATCTATGCCTTTGCATATACGTACATCACATGCCGGAAATGCACTACCCTTTTCATCTCTGCCTTTTGGAATCCCTGTATTTAAAAGGCTCAGATGAAACCTCTTATACAAGGCTTTTCCCAACTTCTCCAGTTGCTGGTGTACTCTCTTTCTCTCTTGAAATTACTTTGTATTTATTTATCTATATACTAGATCCCTTCCAGTAGAATGTAAATTATTAGAGGGCAGGGACTGTTCTTGTTTGCTTTTGTACTTTCACTCTTGTGTGCAGTTAAACTGGTAATAATAATTTGTGGTGGTTGTTCAGCCATTCAAGTCATATCCAACTCTTTCTTCATGACCTCATGGACCATAGCACACCAGGCCCTCTCTTGAAGTTTGTCCAAGTTTATGTTCTTTGTTTCCATTAACATTTACAGAGTGCTTTACATGCATTATATGATTGCTCTGTGAGGTAGGTGCTATTATTATCACCATTTTACAGATGAGGAAACTGAGGTCCGGAAAGGTTAAGTGACTTGCCAAATGTCACAACTGGTAAGTGTTTAAAGCAAGATTTGAACCCACATCTTCCTGATTAGAATTCCAACATGCTACCCACAAAATCATGCTACCTTGTCTTGATCATACCTTCCCTGTCATAGCTGTATAAGTGCAAGCCTGACTGTCTAGTGTAAAAAATACCAGGCCTTGAAATGATTAGCATACAATTCACATTCCTATTTCTTAAAATAAGAGACTCATCGCTACCCTCAGAAGAGACACCTATCCTCCACCTGCTTTCTTTCAACTCCTCACCTATTTCTTGTAAGGGGTGGAGTACTGAGGATTCACATTTGAGCTGAGTCTCCATAAGCTGCAGCTGGATGCTCAATAACTCTTGTGTTACTTCCAAAGGGACCAGCTCCTTCAATGACCCTTTCAATCCTTCTGCATGGACTGAAACCTAAGGAAAATTATTAGATAGAGTTGTACTTCTGAAAAGTCACTATCTGTATTATAATTCAAACTTCAGAGAAGAGACCACAGAGAATACAGAATTAGAGAATGGGACAAGGAAAGTTAGAATTAGAGTTTCATTCCATAACCCAAAGGCAAATAATAACCTGGCTGACTACTGACCTTCCTGGCTTCCTTTAAGTCCCAACTAAAACCTGACTTTCTACAGAAAGTATTCTCCAACCCCTCTTAATTCTAGGGCTTTCCCTCTGTTAATTATTTCCTATTTATCCTGTCCATAGGTTGCTCTGTATATATTTGTTTGCATGCTGTCTCTTATTAGATTGTAAGTTCCTTGAGGACAGGGACTTTTTGCCTCATTTTGTATCCCCAGCACTTAATCCCCAGCACATACTAGTCTATTAATAAATGTTAACTGATTGAATAACCAATCAAGTCTATAGAAATGAAAGAAACCCAATTCTCCTCTTCTAGTTCTGCTTGCTAAAATTCTGTAAGTTCTCCTATAGTAGTTCCTTCTTGTTCTCCTATAATAGATTACACTTCACATTCTCACCTGTTGTCCTGGTTCATCAAGTTCTCTCTCCAAGTCCTCCAACATGGTCACAACCTCTTCTCCACTCAAAGGATGGTATTCTTTCACCCAAGACTGGGGCTCCTCAGGCAAGATGGCCAGGAACTGCTCCAGCACCAGCAGATCCAGGATTTTTTCCTTTGTGTGTATTTCTGGCCTCAGCCACTGATGACAAAGTTCCCCTAGTTGGCTCAGAGCTTCCCGAGGTCCAGGGGATCTCCTGGTATCGGAACTGCCTGAAACGTTGGCAGATTTCTTGGCCAGAGAAGCTGTCTTTTCGAAGCTGAAATTCCTGATTAAAGGAAAGGTCTTTTTCTTCTTCCACTTTCACTGTCAAAGGATTTTCCTTCTCCTCAGAAGCCTGGAAAACTAGGGTTGCAGCTTACCTCCGCTGAGACATTCTAACTGACAGCATTGAAGGCTCATTCTGCCTAAGATGCTCTGGAGTATTTCTTCTTTCAGGGGTGGTACTAAAGTATTCACTATTAAGACAGATTATCAGTGCTTCTAAGAATTTGGAATCCTAGCACTTAGCATGGCACATAGTAGGCATTTAATAAATGCTTAATGATTAATTTAGATGAAGGCTAGGAAAATGAATTTAATGAAAATAAAGCAAAACTGTGATAAACATCAAGAACCCTGAACAAAATACTAATTCAAATTCCAAAAATTTTCCACTTTAGAACAGAAGAGCAAGGTTTGGCACTCCCTATTCTTCACCCTCACTAGTTTTTAGGTTTGTAAAAAATGACCTGGATCGTTTTAGAATCCTGAACACTAAGATTTGCCAGTGTGTGTCAGGTCAACCCTTTGTTTTCCAAAATTAGACACAAGGGTGACAAGTGAAAACAAAACAAACCAGGTCACACCGCCCAGAATCCATAGGTCCCAACAGTCCAGGGGCTCAGGAAAAGGAACAAGCAAAACATGTCACAGATTGTGGACACGGTCGCCGGGGCTGGATTCCTCGGAGGCTCCGCAAAATCCCAAGGAGGCCCCCGGGAGAGGGGGGCCCTGACCCGGGCCAACACGGCTCCCCCTCCCCACACACCCGCACTCTTCTGGGTCTCCCGGCGTCCCACTGCGGGGCTCCTCCCTCCCCGCCCACCCCCTGGGAGTTGCAGGTGCCCCGAGCCCCTTCCCACAGTCCAGGAGCCTGCCTCGCCCCCACCCCCAGCACGTGACCCCGCCTTCTCTGTCTCCTGGGCTACCGAGGCCGGAAGTGTGTTACCCAATTCTCACCTCTGTAGCAGACCTAGAGGATCGGCCACCTCGGTAATACGGATGATTCGCTCTCCTTACGGATCCCTGGGGCGGGCCCCTGGGCTGGGCCGGGAGAAGGGGCGGGGTCGAGAGAACGCGGGGCTCCGAGGCTGGACGCTCCTCTCTTTGCATCTGGGCACCGCGCTGCCAAAGGACCGTGTAGACCACGTGGCCCAGAGTCGGGCCACGCTCTCGGAATGTAGCCCCCGCAGAGACGTCTCCTGGGGTTGCGGATCTTGCTTTCTCTCCACCTAGGGAGGGTAGATTCAAAACCCACTTTGGGCAGATCACTTAGCCTTTCTGGTTTTATCTTTCTGGTTTTATTTTTCTGGTTTTATCTTCTTCATCTATAAAATGAAGAGATTGGCCTTCATGGCTGCTAATATTTAATAGTTGTAAAGCTACTGTCCTTTTGTAGCACCGCCTCTATGACCACTTCCCAACTTTCCCTGGAACTAACAACTTGGGGCCTCTCACGGTTCTCAGGGTAAAACTGAGGAATTGGTATTCCTACTACTGTAACCCCCATCTGGTGTGTTCCTCATTATCAATCAACAGGCACAACTGTATTTCCCTTTAGAAATTTACTAAGAAGGTACAGCAAGAACAGTAGTTACAAAAACATTATACACCCAGGGGCACACTGTCTCCTTGCATGGTCAGTATTCTTGGGGAGAGTGGGCTTAAACTTAGGGTGTAATGAGAATAAAGCGTATGTTTAGAACATGTAGGGTGGAAGGGTACCTCAAAACTCCTAGGCTGGAGAATCCTTTCTCCCCTTGTAGAGTCCTCATTTAGTTTCCCCTTAAGCTTAGGTTGTCGCTCTTGGATCTAATCTAGGTATAGGGATAGGATTCTGGCTTTGGGTGGGAGAGGTCCCCAATTCATATCCCAGGAGTCCCAACATTTTGGGCAGCTAGGTGGCACAGTGAATAGAACCAGGCTTAAAATCAGAAATGTTGCGGTCTGAGAGGTTGAGACCACTCAAAGACAGCAGTGCAGGACGGGGTTGTCTGGAATGAACTCACAGACTCAAACATTCTTTAAGTCAAGGTGGCAAAGATATATTGTTACGCTTTTCAGCAGGCAAGGATTCTTAAGGAACCTGCAAGAGACTGAGGATGGAGCTAGGATTTATATGTAAAAGGGCATGGGAAAGGAATGCCAGGGGTACTGATTAGGTAATCCAAAGGTCCAGGTGTCTTTGGGAGCTATGGATGGGAAAGTACAGGGAATATACCAGACAGGGAGGGAGATGACACAAGTATGGATCTTGGGAGTCTGGCAAGAGGAAGAGTCCTTGGGCCAGTCAAGGACAAAACTCCTTGGGCTGGGCAAGGCACCCTTCTCTCTCTGTCTTGATGAGAGAATGCTCTGCAACAAGGGAAAGCTTTCTCACAAGACAAGAACTTACTAAGGAATTGGGAGGCTTCCAAGACATGATCTGAGGGCTAGGGCCTGAGCAGCCCAGCACTCCCTCACCCAGCTTTGTGTAGCTGCACCAGGAAGAGAGATAAGGGTCTTGCTCAGGTCCATGCATGAGTAATTGCTAGGCACAGTGTCCTTGGGCTGAGGAGTGATTGTCAGAGACAGTGTTTCTGAGACTAGGGAGAAATTGGGGTCCAAGTCCAAGCACAAGTACCCAAGCACCCCATCAGAAAGACCTGAGTTCAAATATGACCTAGCTCTGTGACCATAAGCAAGTCACTTAACCACGTTTGCCTGGAAAACCACTTTAATACCTTTGCCAAGAATAGTCCAAAAGAGGTCATGGAGAGTTGGAAGTGACTGAAAGGACAAAGGCTTAAATCTCTGCTGGGTTCTGAAGATCTAGAGCCTTAACCAGTATCTCTGTTTTGTTTTGTTTTGTTTTTGTTTGACTAGGCAATGGGGTTAAGTGACCTGCCCAGGGTCACACAGCTAGTAAATGTTATGTGTCTGAGGCCAGATTTGAGCTCAGGTCCTCCTGAATCCAGAGCTGGTGCTCTATCCACTGCTCCACCTAACTCTGCCTAACCAGTATCTCTGTAACTGGCTTTGGGGGGTTGGGGAAAAATAAGAAAATGTCCATATGACACACCTTTAAGTTCAATTAGTATTAAGACTTTTTTCCACCATTTCCTTAAGAGTAGACAATTGACAAAACAATAAATCAAGTTCTGATTTGTAGCATTTGCTGATATCTGAGGTGTAAATGCACATCCTGAAAATATAGATTGGCTTTTCAGAGTCAATCAATATGAGCTGGTTACCAGCTCAGTCCTGCACTTTCTCTGGAGCTGGCCGCTACCACATTAGTAGATTCTGCTACTGACGCTGATCGCCAGTGGGACCTCTTATGGCTTTAAAGGATTCCCCCAGGTTCCTGGGCACTCAACTCTTAGAACACTCCTTCATCCTAGAAAAAGGAAAGAATAAACACAAAAGAAACAGAGGTTCCACTGGCCAGAGGGTGCCAGAGGGCCACATAAAGTAGTGTTCTTCCTCTTACCTGTCAGTTCACAGCAGGGAACCTCACTGGTTCACTGAAAAGGACAAGAAACAGAAAGGCCATAGGGGGGCCAAGTCACTTATATGTACATTTAGTTCCAGAGTGAACAGATTATTCCTTTTTGTATGTACATTTATTAACTCTGGAATCCAAAAGGTTTCAGTAAGACACAGAATCAGCCAGTAATGTCTGGAATTAGATTTATTGGAGTCAGGCAGGGAATATCTTTGTATGCTCATTATAATCTATTAAGAAGGGCAGATCTCAGCATGCTCTAAGGAGTAGGCCTTCATTGGTCAACCCTCTCACCCTCAGCCCCAAACCTGATGCATCTGCTCCTTGGGATTAGAGGAGTTAAGTGATGCACAGAGGAGAATGGACTGCCAGAAACAGCATGGTACAATGGAAAAAGACATTGATTTTGAGTCTGGCTATCTGAGTTCAAATCCTAGCACTTCTTCCTACTAGCTGTGTGACTTTGGGCAAGTCAGCCTCCCAACTTCTGGGATAAGAACTCATTATTTTACAAAAACTGCTAGGAAAACTGGAAAACAACATGGCAAAAACTAGGTATAGACCAATATCTTACACCACATACCAAGATAAGGTCAAAATAGGTACAAGATTTATACATAAAGGGTGATACATAAAAGGTAAAATATAAAGCAAATCAGTAGAGCAAGGAATATCTATATTCCTTGTCAGATCTATAGAGAAGGGAAGAATTCATGACCAAACAAGAAATAGAGAACATTACAAAATGTAAAAATCTTTATTAGATTGCTTACCGTTTTAGGAAGAGGAGAGGGACGTAGAAAATTTTGGAACTCAAAATTTTGTAAAAAATGAATGTTAAAAATTGTCTGTACATATAATTTGAAAAAATAAGATTGTATAAAAAAAGAAAGGGGCAGCTAGATGGCACAGTGGATAGCGCACCGGCCTTGAAGTCAGGAGGACCTAAGTTCAAATCCGGCCTCCAGACCAAACACTTGACACTTACTAGCTGTGTGACCCTGGGCAAGTCACTGAACCCCAATTGCCGAAAAAAAAAATCCATCTTTTTTAAACATAGGACTTTAGGGTTCATGAGCTCTGTCTATGCCAAGTGGGCATCCACATGTCTGCATTTGCCATGTACTTCTATAGTAAATCTGTCATTGCACCTCTTTCCTCCAGCCCCATCCTCTATTGTTTTGGGTTGTGAAGTCAACTCTAGATTTTCCAACTTATACTCAGAAAGGGAAACAAAAGCATACAGGAGACAGGAACTTGAGGTCCAAGAATTCCCCTCTTGCATTCCCTGGGCAAGCACTTGCTGTTCAGCAGGTACTTGTGCTGTATCCTGCCTCCTGGAAGAGGGTGGGAGAAATTCTTATTTCCCCTTCACTGTACTTTGGAAGTAAATGAAAGGAAAACAATGACAAGGGAGCCCTGAAGAGAGCAAGAAAAAGATCGAGCTGGTGCATCAACTCACATATAGACCACATAGAGAGGTAGCTCTGTTGGTAAGAGTCTGTCCTTCTTATTCTCAATCAATCATCTGAAGATCCCTGAGTATGTATATACTCCATAGTGAGGTGCCCTTTAGATGCCTTGAAACCAAAGCCAATGCTTTGTAACTTCATCAAACTGGTGGACTAATCACATTAACCAGAGACTTCTATCAACTTCTTATTTGATTTCCCTGTTATGTATTTTTGTCCCAGCAAATCAAAGTGGGGTGCTTTCAAGCATCTTGGTCCAATCCCAAATCTGGATAGTACTTTGGCAACTTGGGGAAGCTTCAGCTGTTACCCTCTTTTTGTTTGCCTCCCCCAGGGCTAGACACTAACGATATTCTTAAAATGACCCTGATACACACTTCTTGGACTCTCACAATATTAACAGCCCTTTGTGAGGCCTCTCATAGCTGAAGAGCCCAGGGGTTACGTATACCAAATCAATAAGCAAATTTTTTTTCTTTTTTTGCAAAATGTCTATAGGTGCATCCCTACCTTGGTGTTTGTAGGAGCCTTTCCAAACCCTATTTATTAAGAAAATAAAAATAGAAAATAAGAATAAATAGAAAATAAAAAAGAAAATAGAAAATAAACAGCTAACAATGTAAATAAAAAGATAAGGCAATTTTTAAAAAACTGGTTTCTTCAGAGAGGTCTAGACCTAAGATAAGGCAATTTTTAAAAAACTGGTTTCTTCAGAGAGGTCTAG